AAATTTGGACAATCTTAAATTGAATTTTCAAAAAAATATTTATAATGATGCTTACATAATTAATTTCTATTTCAACAAAAATAAAATAAGCCTTAACTTTACGATGTGCAAGTAATTTAATTTTTTGTAAAGTACTCGCCATCATCTTAACAATTTTACTTTAGGTCTATTTTTTAAAGCATTAATCCATAAATCTCGGAAATGAAACAAGAGCTATTAAAACAACAATTGTAAATACCCTGCTATATAATGAACTTGGGAGCGAATTTTTCAATTTGAATGTATCTAAGTTTGTACGAAGCTTTATTACGTTTCAAGTGATAATAGTATTGATTCCTTCCCAATTTTTTTAATGCATTTTTGTTTTCCTTTTTATAACAAAACGTTTTATAACAATTCCAACTCTTTACTCGACATTGCAAAAACTAATGAGAAGTAAACAATTGATGAGCTAATTGATAAGCTTCAGTAAAATTTTTTTACTCTTAATACTCGTCCGCGGTGTTTTGTGATAAGACCGTAAGAACTACTTGGAAGTAGGGGGGGGGGGGGTGGACAAACCGCGGTGTTTTGTGATAAGGCCGTAAGAACTTTTTGGGGTACAATATATATAAAAATAAATAAATAAATAACAGGAAAACACTTATTAATTGTTGGGGTACCTCAGGGTTCTATTTTAGGGTCATTATTCTACTACATTATTTCTACTGTAAATAAATGATCTATATTTATCATCAAACTTTATAAATTTAATTCTATTTGCAGATGATTCCAATCTTTTTATTCACACAAAAATATTAAAATACTTTTTAAACATATTAATAATCAGTTAGAAAAAGTTTTTAAGTAGCAAACTTTCTCTGAATGCTAATAAAACTAAATTTATATTATTCAATAAATCAAATAAAATAATAACCAAGTCTTATTAAAATCAAAACAATTATTAATAATAAATCTTCAGTAAACTTTTTAGGCGTAGAGTTAGATGAAAATTTACGATTGAATTTTCTAATAAACAGTCTCGAAAAAAATTTCTTAAACTCTTGGAATGATATATAGAACTAAACCATTTCTTAAATTCAAATTACTAAAAGACTTATACTATGATTTTTTTCATAGTTACTTAGCGTACTGTAACATCGTTTGGGCAAGTACCAATCGTGTAAAAAACTACAAAAAGCCTTACAGTAAACAAAAATACGCATCTCCAATTGTATTTGGTGTTAAGAGAGAAGAACCCAGCAAACCTCTCCCGTGTTTACTTGGAGCATTAAATATTTACAATCAGTTTACATCAAAATTTAGTCTTTATAAAACTAAGCTAGGGTTATCGCGAAAAATATTTGAATCCTATTAGTAAAATCTGTAATAAATACACAATAAGATTCTAAAAAAAAAAGTTGTTCCAAAATATAGTTTAAAAATGACCTCAAAAATGCTCATACTCAATTAAGTATCGTGGGCCATATCTAAGGAAAACATTCTCAGACATAGCTAATAAAAAAATAACCTATCTAGATCTATTTTAAAAGGAATCTAAACGGTTCTTCTTTTTTATGAGTTACACTATGCTTGATTTTAAATGTTTCTTTTAAAGTTAAACTCAAATATAAAAATTAAGTTAATTAAAAAAATATTTTATTATCAAAATCCATATAATAAAGTTTATTAATGATATTACCTCTTTCTCAGAATGGTATGTGTATGTGTACAATCAGTAGCGTAGGAAGGTTTTTAAAAGTTTGAAATAACCATTTATAAACAACAAAAAAATTCAACATTTTTTCACGTTAATATGTATGACGAAAAGATGGGTTAGAAGGGGGTTGCAAACTTTATAAAATAATAATAATAATAATAATAATAATAATAATAATAATAATAATAATAATAATAATAATTGAAGCTGTGTTCTTGAGAGTTTCAAGAAAGAACCTAACAACTGTAGATGTTAGATTTTAACAACTGTTTTTCGCTAAACTTTTTAAGTTTATTTTTAAAATCAATTACTGAATTAGCGTTAACAACTTCACTGTCCAAACGATTCCAATTTTCAACTATACAGTTCGTGAAGAAATGATGCCTCGGCAAAAAGTTTTGAACATACTGCCTTCGCAACCTTTTTTTGTGTCCTCTAGTTAGCCTACCCAATACTTCTGGTTCACGATGCCAATTGATAGTATCAATTTTGTTCATGAATTTGTACATTTGGATAAGATCACCTTTTTCCCTTCTATTTGATAGATTTTGTAAGTCCATTTTCTCTAATCTTTGCTCGTAACTGTCTTTCTTTTTTTTGTAGCCAAATTTTGTAGCTTTTTGCTGAATTTTTTCTATTAAGTTTATATCTTTAATAAAATATGGGTTCCACACTTGAAAAGCATATTCTAAGTGTGGCCGAACGAGTGACATATATAACAATTTTGTTGATGTTTCATCTAGATAGAGGATTGCGTGCTTTAACATACCCAATTTTTGATTCGCCTTACTTACCATTTTTTCAATGTGGTCTTCCCATTTTAAATTGTCTGAAATATAAACACCAAGGTCTCTTTCCAATGACGTTACTATTATTCCATGTTGAATAATCTCTGTTTCTGTAGCATTATATTTTAAATTATACTTTATTTTTGGATTATCACGACCGAAATGCATGATTTTACATTTATCTTTATTAAAACTGATAAGCCATCTTTTAGTCCAGTTAAATAAGATGTCAAGATCAAACTGTAGAGAGTTATTTATTTTATTTTTTTCTAGAACTGCAATTATTTTTAAATCGTCTGCATATAGTTTTGCTTTATTATTCAACTTTTTTGTTAAACCATTTATATAAATTATAAAAAATAAGGGTCCTAAGACCGATCCTAGTGGTACCCCACTACGAACTGTTTCCCATTCTGATTCAAACAGTCCCAAAACAACTCTCTGTTTTCGATTTGCTAAAAAAGCTTTACATCATTGCAACAATTTTTCGACAATACCAAATGACTTAAGTTTCAAGAGCAGCCTGGAATGCGGAACTGAATCAAATGCCTTAGAAAAATCTAAAAAGGCAACATCAACACATTTTCCACAATTTATTGCTTCTATTGGTCATAATTTTTGAACACTAAAATATTTTACTATGAAATTTAAAATTCCTCCATGAGTATAAGTCTAGTTGAAAATAGTACAAAAAATATTTCATCAATTTGTTGCTCTCACGTTTAGGACAGGAGGGGGGCTAAGATTTTAGGGTTTCTTGTTCCCATTCTCGTATTACAGTAATTTTTTTTTAAAGAATTTTTGCGTCATACATATGAACGTAAAAAAATTTGGAATATTCTTGTTTATAAATGTTTTTCAAACATTTAAAAACCTTCCTACACCACTGTTTGCAATATTTGTTTTTTGCTACTGTACAAAATGTATGCAGTTTGGCAATTACTATTTGCTACTTTATGTATTAAAACTTGTAAAAAACAATACGATAAATTTTCTTATAATTTATATAATTTTACGTCTTTATAAAAAAATATTTGTAAAATGTTTATTATAAAGACGTAATATATAAACTAGATAAAAATTTGTAATTACGGTTTTATAAAAATGGTGCTCGGTGATAAGACATGTTTTCATCTTGCTCCAGCTATTTATTTTATGTATTTGAAAACTACATTTATAGTAAAAAGCGAAATAAACAAAATTAAAAAAAATAGGTATTAAAAAACGATTTGTTTACCTATATTGTTTATTCTGTTGTGATTACGTCTTATAGTTCGAAAACTTGTTAAAAACTTATCCCGTTAATTTTTAAGAGTTCGATTCAGTTTGATTATAGCTTTCAAAGCTTACAAACTACATTTCAAAATTTTTCATTTTTTCTTGCAAAGGCGCCATTTAGGTTACTACTTGCATTAATTATACTGTACACTAAATAAGACTGTACACCTTCCAGCTAGTCTATTATACCACTTTAATATTATAAGTCGTATTAAATACGGCAACTCTTAAAAAAAGTTTTTTTTTTAATTTGAGTTATGTTCTACTGATGTCTAATATAATTTTACTTAAAGTAAAGTATTAATCAAGTAATTCAAATTTCTTCAAGTAATCAAACTAATTACTTAATAAATTATTAATTAATTTGTTTCAATTTAGTTATTTAAATGCCAAAAAAATGTATAACAAACTTTTTTTTCAAGACCGCATTCTTGAAAAAATCTCTCTAGGATAATTTTATTTTTTATTTTATATTATAAACCTGTTTTTACTTATAATCTAACTCGTTATGTGAGTAATCATTATTGAAGGGTCAAATGTTCTAAAATTTTTAACACCTAAGCCTGCCTACTTAATTCGTTTTATGATGTATAGCAGTTTAGAGCTTTATAATTTACAATACGCTTTATTGAGTAACAAGAAAGTAAGTTTATCTTTTCCTGAATAGTTATACTTTTGTAGATAAAGTTGCTTGAATTTAAGCCCTAGTAAAAGTTCATAACTCCTTTATAATAAAAACAACAACATGATAATTGTTTTGATTTTATTTTTGTCCTAGTTTTTATATGTATAATCAGCTGTATTCAATTGAATCGTTTTATTGAAAGCTGTTGACAAGGTTTGGTAAAGACTGAGCTAAGCTATAAAAATTGTTTCTTGTTATACAAAATTGTATACAAAAACATATTAAAAATATTTGTATAACTATTCAATACCTTTTAAAATCTAAATGTCATTGAGCACGAGGCTAAAAGAGTCATATCGGGGTATCTAAGCAAAAAGCTGGTTTAAAACAGCATTAAAAAAGTGATTTAAAGTGATATTATTGCTAAGTTGGCGGACAAACGAGATGTTTTCCTAGTAGTCTGAGTTTAAAATTTTTATAAACCAAAGCCTTATTTCTAGAACACACGCCTATGTAATTTAGACGCACATGAAAAAGCAACACAAACACATAATAAGTATTGCTCGAATAAAACTACATTTTTTTCAAAGAAAGTTTAAAAGAACTTGAATGATAAAAAGTTTATATTTATTACTGCTTTTATTTATTTGAAGTTTTAAGCACAAAATAAAACAAAGTTCTTAAAAGAACGATAACGCTTACAACAATTAAAACACTCTGCACAATATTTAAATTTACTGGTTTAATGTACGGCATTATCTGTCGACCTTCAATGTACGTTCTGTTCTTTAAACACTCTTGAAATTGACTGTGCGGTGAACATCTTGAAAGAAATAAAAGAATAAGGTTAAAAATAAAAAGTTTGTTTAAAGAAAAAGTCAGTAATAATATCATGGTGCGCAGTGTGAAATCTTTTTTTTTTTGTGTATAACTGTTGTTTGATATTGATATTACTTGTTAGCGATATCAAAAAATCAAATCAAATATATTCTGAATAAATTTGTTACATCAAGATACATAAAGTTGTTACATCAAGATACATAAAGTTGTTACATCAAGATACATAAAGTTGTTACATCAAGATACATAAAGTTGTTACATCAAGATTATTTACTAATAGTAATAAGTACTAATATGAAGTAAACACCTGTCAAATTCAATAGTAGTAAAATGATAACAATTATTAAGTAGAAGTAAATAAAAATAATGGTAGTGATAACAACGATTAAAAGTAAAAGTAAAGATTAAAAAAAGTATTTGCTATTATATAATAATAATAATAATAGTAATAATAACAATAAAATTAATAACAAAAACAACAACAATAATAATATAACAAAAACAGTAACATAAAAATAATTATAACAATATTAACAACAGTAATAAAAATGATAATATTTATAACGAAAAAAATATAGTAATAATAACAGTAACAATAATACTAGAATACTAATGTAACAATAATAAGAGAATACTAATGAAAATATTTCATTTTGAGAAAGACTAAAATAACAAAATTTAACATAAGCTATAAAAATTAGTATTATTTAACACAACAGAAAAGAGAAAAAATATTAAATAAATAGAAGTTAGGATTATAATCAATAAGTTGAAGAAAGGTATAAGATTTATATACAATATTTAGTTAAAGAGAGCAGCAGTTTTAAATTTTGAGAATGATTTAAGAGATTTTACTTAGGAAGGGAGATTGTTCCATGTTTGTATGCTTTTATGTTGTATCCCAGCAAGCACATAACGTTATTTCAACGTTTTTTCAACGTTGAAAAATGGTTGATATATGGTTGAAAAATAACGATCTAAATTTCAACGTTATTTCAACGTTAATAAAAAAAAAAACGTTGAAATTTCAAACATTGATTCAACGTTGATTTTCAACTCAAAACAAACGTTGAATTAACGTTGAAAAATAAACGTTGAAATTACGTTGAAATTTGGATACGAGAGTTCGCCGACGTAAATGTACTAATAATTCGCAATTAAAATAAAATTTAACATTTCACAAAGATTTGTGGGTGGGAAAGTTCTTTAAAAATTTTGATAAAAGTGTTAATGTAATAAAAGTGAAAACATTAAAAGATTTTTTTGTTATGAAAATATGTATAATTTTACAAAAATTTATATGAATTTGCAGTATACACAAATTTTGCATATTTTATATAAAAATGCAAAACTTGTGTATGCTGCAAATTCATATAATTTTTATATAAATTTGGATTAAATTTTTATATGAAGATAAATTAACGGCTAAATAACACAATCTGCTGAAGCTATAAATATTAATATTGCTATATATAATAAGCTATACATATTATTGTATTAGTATCAAACAATATGGTTTTCGTTGTCTGCTTTTTTTTCAAAATTCAAAATTATGAATTTTGTTTGGGACAAAATGAAACAAAAAATTCATTTTTTCCGAAAACGGGACGAAACGAAAATCGTTGGGACGCTGGGACAAATGGCATAAAATCGGGACAATCCCGGTCAAAACGGGACGTATGGTAAGCCTATATATATATATATATATATATATATATATATATATATATATATATATATATATAGGTACGTAGAAATACGCGTTTCACGGTACCGAGTTTTATACCAAAAAACTGTTCTCCGTTTTTTTGACTTTTGGGTTGACATGCATGGTAGGATTTATTTTTAAAAACATTATTATTTTTTAAAATCTAGAGTAATTAAACTTTATTTCTATGGGTCTTTTGATTACAATGACAAACTTTTTAAGGTAATTTATTTAAATCCAAAACTTGGTAATACTTTAGACGTTTAGTAAACCTTGAAAAAATACTCAGTAAATTTTCCTACCTATTCTCATTTTTAAGTTTACATACTTTTTATGCACCTGTCAAATTTCATTGCTTTATTTTGATTAGCGCATTCCATATTTTTACTAGCACTTTTGGTACCTAATTTTTTTTTTTAACAGTTTAACGGTGGGCGGATGAGGGGGATTTCGTTAATAACATTTAGCAATATAATCTGATACAAATATAGATAACTGTTCAATTTAATCTGATTTAGATTTAATTTACTTAAATTATAATGAGTTATCCATTCATTGTTGATGAAAGAGTAGTGCGTAAAGGTTTAATTAATATATATTTACAAACAATTTTTTTTTATAATATAAAAAAATTATTCTTATTACTTAATTATATAAAACTTAATTATAAAAAATTTATCTTTTAGATAATGAAGCACTTCGTAAAATTAGTCAGTGTATTATATCTGGAATTATTTGTCATTTTGTATTTAAAAAAAAAAGATTTTTAAGTTAGTTGATTTGAAGGTCTACATAACTCATTCTTAAGAGTTTAGGATGTTTTAACTTATGATATATCTGATGTAATTATGCCTGTGATGTAATCACAAGTTTAACTTGTGGTTACATTACTTTAAATGTTTAACTTGAAGTTAAAATGTGTTGTTATGATAATTTAAAAAATATAAATAAAAAGGTCAAAACCTAAGTGTCTTTATGTGCCGTCATCTTTATCTTACCAAAAAAGAAGTTAACGTAGTTCTGTGCTATTTAGAAAGTGTTTCGAGTTCAAATTTGAACCCGACTATTGTGCATATACCAAAAGTATTCAGTATTTAAAACTTTTATTGTACTTTCCCTTACCTCATTTTTATATTTTCTTATAATTATGTAGTTATCCTATTGCTCATTAGTTATGTAATTAAACAACTTTATAACTTTTAAAGGTATCATGCCTCCCAAGACAAAAATGATGCTTATTGGCAATTTAAAAAAATATATAATCGCTAACTTTACATTGGCTACCAAAACGAGCATTGATTGTAGAAATGGACATATACTATTTATATTTATTAACAATGGAGAGTTATTTAATAAAACTGTTGCACAAGTTTATGAGCATTTTAGCATTAACACTTGCAAAAATGAAATCCAAAAACTTTTTAGTGTAGTAAAAAAACGGTGTTATAACTTTTCAAGAAATGCCACTAATGTAGCTGACTTTTGCAACAAGCCATTTGTGTTCCATGCCCTGGTGCTGACAGTCTCACAGTCATTGCCACTTACTTCTAGTCCAATTGATACTGTTTCTTGTTCTTCAATTGCATCATCAGAAAATATCAGTTTTATATCTCCAGTAAGTAGTGCAAAGCTAACTCCCACAATCAATAGCAAAAATAAACAAAATCTGCATATTTTACGAGAAAAAATGACTCTTACAAAAAAAAAGTTACAGAGTTGGTTATTTTATTTGACATCACAATTAGCTAACTCTTCTAAAGAACAACGTTACAAAATAGCATTATTGAAATCTAAATTGAACAACATGCCCTACAAAATAAAAGCTTTAAGACATTTGAAGTTTAAGCGTTTAAAGTAAAGAAGAAATTATAAAAGCTACGAGAGCTGGAATTAGAAACTTGAAACAAAAAATTTAAGTTATGTTACTGCAATAGGTATATTCGCAATCTTGTAATGAAAAAATGGAAATGAAAATTGAAGCTAGATAACAGCTAAGACAAGTAATGCTCAAACATAATACTGTTAGTAGAGAAAATAAAACTGAAACTGCTAGATTAGAAAATGATATGACCCAAATGGAGGAGGTTGATTGTATTGCTTCAGTTACGTCAGGAGATAATAAAGCTTACTCAATACAAACTAGAACGATAATCTATAGCATTTTATTGTGTAATGTTCCAACAGGTAACATTCCAATCCTATTGAAAAAAACTGCAAAATATTTTGGTGTTGGTTTGTTGCATATTCCCAAGCGTATTACTGTTGAGCAAATGGCTCGTGAGCTTGGTTGCATATCTGACATGCAAGCTACAGAGTGGGCCATCTGCAATACAAATCTTACTCTTGGGTTTGACGCCACCACGCAGGAAGGTGTTTATATTAATAGTGTCCACTTAACGTTAAAAAATAAATGTCAGGTCATTGCTTTGGACCAATTGCCTGAAGGGATGTCTGATGACTATGAAAAACATATAGGTAATGCAGTGGATAATATGGCTTCAATTAATTCCAATTTTCAACACTGCTGTATTTTGTAACACAACTGCTATAAAACATGTATTCTTGGTTTATTTGAAAAACTTCTCACTGGGCCATGAATGACTAATTTCGATTTGATAGTGATAAATTAAGATAGTGAAGAGCTGATGGGTATGTTTAGTGAAGCTAAAGGGAGATCCCCTAATGCAGCTATTTGTTATATATCTTGCAAATTGCGATTTAAAAAGAATATGACTGGATTAATCTTGACCAAATAGAGAGAGAAAATGTAGTTAAGTGGTCTATTAAAGCAGCTCGTATAAAAAGAATAGCAAATTGGCTGAATTATACTGCATTACGAGCAGAGATTTCAAAAAGACAGACATGCGAGAGGCAAAAAATGGGTGAAAAGGAAAAAAGGAAATTGGAGCGAGAGCTGAGTTCGCTATCTTTTAATGAAATAAAGAATTTATAATAGCACTTGTCTACTAAGCAACTTGGTGACTTATGATTTAATGTATGAAAGAGTTGTTGAACTCTGCCATGAATGGTTTGATACAGATAATAGCAAGTCTGTCATTTATGATGGGAAAGCAGAAAAAGTCAATAAAAGAAAAGAAGACAGAATTTGTACTATTTCCTTCAGGAAAAAAGATAAAACTGTTGACCATTGCATGAAAAAATATGTTTTTATAACAATTTTTATTATCTTATACAATAGCATTTAAATTTTTTTAAATGGAATTACAAAAATTTAATACTTATTTTAGGTTGGAGGGCGTTGTGGCACACACCCCTTCCCTTGACTCTAAATGTGCACTACTAGTGTAAAAAAGAGAAATTTTTGTTATTTAAAAAAAAATTTGTTATTTATTATTAGGTTTACTTTTTTTAAATAAAGATAAAAATATTTATTGAAATTTTTTTTTAGTTATAGGGTGTGTTAAACTGACACCCTTACACCCACCATAACACAATAATAAACTTCTCTTATTTTGCAATGGTCTGAAGCAAATTATAACTACTTCTTGCATATGAAAATTAAAAAATTTCCACAAAAATTACTCTTTCATTTATAAAAATTTGTATTTATTACCGGGTAAGCTGTTGGTTCAATGCCCCCTCTAGTCCCCCATACGCCCTTTAGCTAGCGACCTATATAAATTTGTAGCCTATTCTAATACCTATCTTTTGATAATAAGTTATAGGCATTTAGATAAGAAATGACAAATTTAATTTAGCCCTAACCCTAACCCTAACCCTGAAAAATATTATTTTGACGACAGTTTCTTCAAAAAATTCATATATCGAAAATTCGGTATAGATGACAATTTGTTACACAAATTTCTTGTTTGTTATTACTTTGTTTGTTAATATTATTAATATTATAATCATTTATTAACTTTAATTCTATTAATTATTTATTATTTTCTTATTTATAGTATCTATAAAAAAGTTAGCACTTATAAAAAAAGAAAAAGGTTATTAAAAGTTGCTAACAGCATGCTCAAATTAGAGCTAAGATTTCTTAACAGAGACTTCAAAACAGCAAAAAATTTATTAAAAAGAAGAAAGAAAGTTAGGGAAAAAGCTGTTTACAAATTGCTTTTTCCCTAACTTTCTTTCTTCTTTTTTTTAATATTTCAATATACCCGTTGAGTAACTAATCACATTTGTATAGACTAGTTTAGATTAGTCTAATAACTCTAACCTCTCAGTTTTGTTCATGTCTGGTTTTTAAGATTTTAAATAAGATTTTGTTTATCACATTTTTTTGCTATGATTTCATTATTTTTTTTTAGTTTTTTGATTTGAGTATTCCATTAATTTAATTGATTTGTAAGTTCATTGTATTTTTACTGTTTTTTTTTGATTAAATTTATTTTGATTTGGCAGGTTAATAGCAAATTAAAGAACAAAGTTTTACTTGACCTAATCTAAAACAAATTAAACAAATTTTAATAAACAAACAAATTTTTTTTTTTTTTTAAACAAACAACTCAAAATTTGTCAACAAAATTAAAACTTTATCAAATGAAATTTGATTACGTAAAAGTTAAATCAAATTTTCGTTTTGGTTTGATTGTCAACTTAACATACCTACTGCTTCGTTTTGTCAACTTAACATACCTACCACTTCGTTTTGTCAACTTAACATACCTACCACTTCGTTTTGTCAACTTAACATACCTACCTAACAACTGTCAACTTAACATACCTACCACTTTTGTACGCATTATTTTCAATGAAACTTTAGATTTATTGAAAAATATTGATCTATCGTGGCTTTTTAAATTTGTTAAAAATACGCGTAACATTTTTTCTATCTACTAAACTTTACCGCACTTTATTACTGGTAAAGGAACTTTTTTCTGCAATATTTTTATATACTAGATGAAGAACCTTTACTTTTATTAAAGACAATAATCAAAAGATTTTAATCTACAATTTAAATGGTAAATAATAGCTAACTAAACATTAATTATTTTACGTGGTAGGATGAAGTAAAATTAAATAAAATGTATACTTAAATAATTCACGGGCGTGTTGAAATTCCATGTGTAAGAATATGTTGTAAAGATAGCTGTAAACCGATACATATCTACACCAGTTCAGATAGATTGAATATCTTTTGTTATAAAAGCCTCCTAGTATCATGCTAATCATATTAAATACAACGGCAACAGCCAGACCTTTTTTAACATTTTTTATACCAGCTCCGATGACTAAACCGACTGACTAAAAATAAAATAAAACACATAAAATACATTGAGCCTACAAAAATGTAGCAAAAAAAACTGTAATACTATTTTGCACATGAAGTTCATTTAAATTTTTTTTTACTTGGTTAGTTATTTAAATATTTCATAATCGTAGCTTTTAAACAAAGGGTATCTGTGGATAGATATAAATAAATATACTAAATATAAATAGCTTTAAATAATAATTACATAAACAATTAAATAGATAAATAGCTTAATTAATTAAATAGGTAAAAATATAAATAATAGTTAAATAAATAATTAAATAATAATTATTTAAATAATAATTGAATAAAAAATACATTGAACAAAAATGTAGCAAAATCTTGAATTTCATTAATTTTTTTTTATTATTTATTTTTATTACATATTTTTATTATATATTTTTTCATTAAAAAAGGAATAAATAAAACAAGATATATTTAATAACCGTTGACCTGCGAGAGTGCAGTTGTTAAAAAAACATTAAGCAGTCCTAACAAGAATATTGGATGACAATTCAGTCCCACGAGCCAGTATGTTGTTATGTAAATAATAAGCTGTGGCAAAAGAAAAACTGGTACATCAACTATATTTTTGGCAGTGTAGTATGCTGATAGACGATACATGCCAGAAGCGCGCTCTTTTTCTATGACTTTTTTTTCGGCAGGAACTAAAAAAAAGAAGGCATAAAACGAAAAAAACCTTGGTATAATTAAGCATTTTTACTTGAAAATGTTTATAAAAATATCAAAGTTTTTCATTTCAAAAAATAAATTTTTATTAAATATATATATATATATATATATATATATATATATATATATATATATATATATATATATATATATATATATATATATATATATATATATATATATATATATGAGTAATCATCATTTTATAAAAAAATTATTATTCAAATTTCACTAGAAAATAATATTTTTAAACTAAAAACTAAAAATATGCATTTTTACAAAAAATTTTTATTACAATTTTTTTTTGCTCAATATTTTTCATAAAATGGTAGTTATTTTTAAAATTTTTATAAAATTTCGCCTCTTTTGAGAACCAACATGATATACTTTTGAAGAACTTTTGTTTTGATAATTAAAGGGACCCGTCTGGTATTTAAAGGTTTTGAGCTACCTATAAAAACTTTTTTTTTTTCAAAATTTTTTTAATTCCATTATTATTTTATTATATAGAACACATTTAAATGATGGGAGCAGACATTAAAAGAAAGTTGTTTGAAGGGCCTCCCTAATATATATATATATATATATATATATATATATATATATATATATATATATATATATATATATATATATATATATATATATATATATATTATATATATATATATATATATATATATATATATATATATATATATTATATATATATATATATATATATATATTATATATATATATATATTATATATATATATATATATATATATATATATATATATATATATATATATATATATATATATATATATATATATATATATATATATATATATATATATATATATATATATATATATATATATATATATATATATATATATATATTATATATATAAAAAAAAGTTGTGGTGATTGGAGCTTCGGGACAAAAAAACCCCAATTTTTAGACCCACCCAGCCCTTAATGTGGGAGCAACAAGTTGACAAAATAATTTCTTTAGTATTTTTATCTAAGTTTATATTCATCAACGAATTTCAAATTTCATGCAATAACCTCTTAGTTTTTAGTTTTTATGACCCTACAAAATTTACAGCCCCCTCAAATTGAGGGGAGTTAAAACTTTATATGGTCATAATTTTCGAAAAATAAGAAATTATTGGATGAAATTTGAAATTTGTTGATGATTATAAACTTAGATAAAAATACTAAAAAAATTATTTTATCAACTTGTTGCTCCCACGTTAAGGGCTGGGTGGGTCCAAAAATTGGGATTTTTTTGTCCCCAAGCTCCAATCACCACAACTTTTTGCAAAACATTCTCATTTGACATAAGTATGAACATACAAAAGTTTGGAGTTTGCAAAATATGTGTAAGTGTCAAAACTCAAACATCTAAAAGTCCAGTGTACACCACTGATATATATATATATATATATATATATATATATATATATATATATATATATATATATATATATATATATATATATATATATATATATATATATATATTTTTGACATGATTTTTTTTGCTCATGCGCTGTTTGTTATGATGTTGTCTCATTCACTGTCGCATTATAATGTGCAAAGGTTGATTATAATTAGATATATTTACATTTTTTTAATTGAAAAAAAAGTGTTAAGGTATGAGTTTTGTTCATGGGCCATTGAGTATATCGCAAAGCCTTTGTGTATGTTTGCGCAAATTTCATATGAAAACGTTTTACTAAACATTGGACTGCTTAAGGCCAGAAAACTAAAACACCCAAAATATAGGTATCACTTTAAATGTCTACATCTAAATGTGGATATATCAGTTTTATGAAATTTAAATAATAATATCTTTAACTAGATGAAAACTTAATCAAGGGTTAATAACTTTATTAAAAAAATTTATATAAATTAAATTTCAATTTATATAAAATAAATAAAAATAAATTAAAATTTTATTAAAAAATTCTAATATCTTTAAGAATTATAAACAAATAAAACTTTCACCTTTCTTGTACTATAATTTTATAATTTTATTCTATAATTCTTTTGTATAACTATTATTATATAATTTTTATTCTTTAAATGTGAATACTTTATTCAAATTAAATTTGAATACATCAAGTATTCTTATTTAAAGAAACAACAATATTTTTTGAAAACTCAATTTGTTCTTTTAAGAACAATTTAATTTTTTCAAAATACAATGTGTTAAAAATTTTTTTTTTTCTCTATCAATGATCATGTAGTATTTAGAACTTCAAATACAGGGTTTAATAAAAACACTCATGAGTAAAAGCTTATTTTACTTTTAAACTTAGTTTACCTGTAAATGTAACATGTTTTTAGTGAGGTTTTTTTTTCATCTTGCTTCTACTAAAAGTTATGCTTTAAAACAATTGTATTTTTCACATATCTGTCATTAGGCCTCTGCACTTAGTTCCCTAACCCTGACTTGAAATGGTTGACTTAAACAAATTCAGGCACCAGCAGTACACTTAATGAATAAAGCATCATAACTCAAAAAGTTATGATGTTTTTTTGTGTTTTTCTTGAAAAACAATATACTAGAAAATTAAAAAATAAAATTTTAAGTAAATTTTCTATTAAATAACTTTTTCCCTTTTAAGTAACTCCCTTATTCAATAAATCTTTCATTTTAGCATTCAGTCTTTTTTCTTTTTGTTGTTTCCTTTTTTTTGTTGTTTTGCTGCATTTTAAGATGATGTATCTGTAAGTTTTTCAGAAATAATGTTAAAGCAGACACCCATCTGTATTCCATGTTTTTCAAATAGTTTTGGAAGTTTAAATTGAACTTTGTTGAATAGAATGATATGGACAGGATAGTAGGGGAGAGTGGTACTGAATGGACCTTGTACTGAATGGACCATTAGAAAAATAAAAACTTAACAAGCTGTTAATTGATTTTTTTTAATTGCATATAATTTTTGTATACTCAAAGTTTCTTTGATATTTTTGGTTTAACGTTATTCGTAATAATGCATTAATATTTGCATTTTTTGTTTTTTTCGAGCAAAAAGTAAATTTTTATCTTTTCAATTTGTTTCAATTTACACTAGATTTTTAAGGTAAAGTTAACTATGGTTAATAATAATATTATAGATACATATTTTTTACTTTGTATAACATTAGAATGAATGTTATATGATTTACTGATTGCTGTGATTATATGGGTAACATGTACATTTTGATTAGTGTACTGGATGAACCACCATTCATTGTACTGAATGGACCGGTTCATTTTTCTGCGAAGTTATTTATCGCGCTTCAGTATTTTACTTACTAAAACAAAATACACAAGTTTTTTTTATCTAAATGAACTAAGGAGATGTGAGTTAGGAAATAAACCAAAATATCTAGTTAACGAAGACTTAAGGGCGCAAGTTCAATTATTCATTATTCAATATAATATTAAGGTAAGCAGATAATATAATATTAAGTTAAGCAGACTAATAGCTTACATATTAGGTTAATAATTATTAATTTGTAGTTTGTTTCATTATTTCAATAACTGAATGTCATAATATTATTACGATATATAAATAAGGTGGTATTACTTTTAATAACATCTAGCATATAACATTTGTTATATATACTATATATAATAAAAGTTATATGCTAGATATGTTATATGGCATGTAATATGCTAGATAAGCTATATGCTAGATATTATATAATATATCTGAAATGTTATTTATACGTTTTTAAAAACAATGACAATTACCATGGTCAGTAATTTTTACAATACAAAAAATCAAGTAATATCTAATAAAACCAAGAATAAAATTTCGTAAATTAATTGTTATATTTAAATTACTAAAGCTTGTTGATCATAATAAAAAAATTATTCTACATTCAAGCTTTTATATAATTTAGTTTTTTATACATGTTATATGTGCGTGTGTGTGTGTTTAGATAATTAAATATATATATATATATATATATATATATATATATATATATATATATATATATATATATATAAAATAGCATCGATAATTTTTTTTTATAATATGGTTATAAACAAGTTTTATTTATTTCAGAAGTATTATGAGACATCGAAAAGCAACAGCACTAAAAGGTGATTGGGATCCCAATAATATGATCCAAGCAGTTGAAAATGTTTTAAATAAAACTCTATCTGAAAGAAAAGCTGTTGAGATATTTGGAGTCAAACGTTCAACTCTTAAGAGGCGAATAAAAGAAGCTCGACTATCTCAAAATGGATTGAATAAATTCCAATGTGTTCCATATAGTAACAGTTCTATGAAAATTTTTTCAGTAACAGAAGAACAAGAGCTGGTTCAATATTGTTTAGTTTCTGCAAAAATGGGATATGGGTTAAGTCCTATCAAGCTAAGAGCACTAACATTTGAATATGCTCTCAAACTTGAGAAGAAGTGTCCACATTCTCGTCGAGGTTCTGCTAAACCTTGGGAAACAAATAAACATGCAGGTGTAGATTGGTTTAGAGCTTTTTTAAGTCGTCATCCAGAACTTGTTATAAGAAAACCAGAGGCAACATCAATTGGTCGAATGTCAGCATTCAACAAGTATAATGTAAATCTATTTTATAATAATCTGCAAAGTCTTTTGATTAAATACAAGTTTTCACCAAATGATATATGGAACGTTGATGAGACTGGTGTTACTACTGTACAAGTGCCAGAGCATGTTTTAGCCAAGAGAGGAGAGAGGCAAGTTGCTTCTGTTACAAGTGCAGAACGAGGTATCTTGGTAACAATGTGCAATGCAGTAAATGCAAGTGGATCCTCAATAACACCATTCTACATATTTCCACGTGTTCATTTTAAAGATTTTTTTCTGCGAAATTCAATTCCTGGTTCAGTTGGCACTGCCAACAAATCTGGGTGGATGGTGGAATCAACCTTTATGGAGTGGTTTAATCATTTTATAAAAAGTGTTCGACCATCTAAGACAAACCCTGTGCTGTTGATACTAGATAATCATGAGTCTCATTTGTCAATTAACTTCATCGACTTAGCATCAGATAATGGTGTAATTGTTTTAACAATCCCACCCCATACATCACACAAACTGCAACCGTTAGATATAACAGTGTATGGACCTTTCAAACGTCATTATAATCGTGAAATTGATAGCTGGTTGGTATCACATTCAGGAAAAACTGTTTCAATCTATGACATTGCAGAAATTTCTGGAAAGGCTTGGGCAAAAGTATCAATGCCAGTTAACATCGTTAGTGGTTTTTCAGTATCTGGAATAAGTCCTTTTCAACCTGATCGGTGGAAGGATGAGGATTTTTTTTTATCTCAGGTTACAAATAGACCCAATCCTGAAACACTCAACATCAATCCAGTGTCATTAGAAATTATTAGACCTAATCCTGAAGCACTTAACATCAACCCAGTTTCAGTTGAAATTAATAGACCTAATCCTGAAGCACTCAATATCAATCCAGTTTCAGTAGAAGTTATTAGACCTAATCCTGAAGCACTCAACATCTATCCAGTTTCAGTAGAAATAAATAGAAATGTTAAAGTCAACAAAAATGTTAGCAATACCCTGAATGTGGAAAGTATATGCCCTTATCCTTCTGCAAAAGCTGGTTTAGAAAAAACCAAAGGTGCTCGCAAAAAGCTCTCCTCTTCGATTCTAACTGATACTCCAATTAAAGAGGCTCTTCGAAATCAACAACTTCAGCAAAATTTAAAAAAACAAAACAATTCTGAAAACTCAAAAAGATGCTAAAAATAAACGTCAAAGGACATCAAGAAAGAAATCAAGCAACTCAAAAACTCTAAAGTTTCCATTAATGACATATAATAATGATGAGGCTGATGATATTCTTGTTGTCAAAGATAGTTTAAATTTTTGTGGAGGTATTACATCAAATTACGATTTGTGTGCTATATGTGAAGAAATGGGTCGTGACAACGAAGTGTGGTACCGTTGCAGACAGTGTGCGAGCTGGGCACATAAAGCTTGCACAAGTGCAGATAATGCCAGCCAATATGTTTGTGATTATTGTAATTTGATTATCTGATTGAGACTTCGGTCTAAAGTTGTATTAATTAATTCAGAAATATCAATGTCTCAACATACTTCTTTCTTGTTTTTAAACTCCATTTATCACCCTAATTGTTTTGCATAATGTAACTTGTTATGCGCAATTGTTTACAACTTTTATTATAATATACAATATACAAGGATAGTTAGTTAAAATATTAATCTTGTCTCCCGAATTAATATATCGGCTATAGTTATTAGCGATAGAGATATTGATCTTTTTTATTAAAAAAAAAAACTTTTTTTGTGGTCCATTCAGTACAAGGGTTGGTCCATTCAGTACAATGAACAGTACTGAATGGACCACTAAATAATTTGGTACGGGTCACATTTATCGCACATTTTGCCTATGTTCTGTTTGCGCAATGGTTTACAACTTTTAAGGATTGTTAGTGAAGGTATTAATTTTGACTTCTGAATTAATATATCCGCCATAGTTGTTGACAATATGGGAAAAAATTATTTTTACAAAAAAGTTGAATTTTGTGGTCCATTCAGTACCACTCTCCCCTACTGTTTAAAACTGTAAAACAGACCTTTCGTGGTAATTTAAATTACATCAAAAAAAAAAAAATATTCACTTACATGAGAGTATTGCTTGCATCATTTGTCGAATAAACATATATGATAGAATAAAGAATATCTATAATAAAAAAAAAATTTTAAATACAGTTTTTTTGAGCTGCATGTAAACTTAAACAGTGTGAGATACAAGGTGTCAATTCAAACTATGGGTAACTTTTTTATTTTGTATATTATTTCTAAGAGGTAGATTATATGGAGAAAAACCATCCCGCCTAACCGAGATACTTAGGCTAGCATTTCAGCTCAGGCAGGCATTATACAGAAAAAACACCTGGTTCACGCTGGGATGTTTTTAAGGTCACGTGGAACTGTAAGGTCAGTGTAAACTGTTTGTTTACAAATAATCATTCATGTCAATTTTTAAATTAAAAACTAAAATTAAAAAAGCTTCAATAAAATTTCGATATAAAAAAAATTATTTGATAACTTTTAATTTTTATTAAATGCATATTAAAAGTTTGATAATATAGTGTTTTTTATGAAATAAATATCATAAATAATTAATAATTAACTAACAAAATACTTTTGCCTTAAATAACTTTAAGACAAATTGTCAGCCTAGAAAGGCTGCATGTCCATTTTTTGTATTTCCGAGAAAATTAAGTTTTAAAATTTAATTTGTAAAGACTTTCTGTCAGAATGTCCAACTAACTATTTGAATATTTTTAAAAATTGAATTATTCTTGAAACTAGCTTTATTGGGCATATACCCAATCGACTGTTGAATATATATTGATAATTAACAGAAAAAAAAAGAGGAAATCTTGGTTCTCAGCTGACAAAATGTTGAAGTTTTATAAACATATATGGTCAAAAGACTTTATTTAAAGATCAAACAAATGTTATTTAAATTTTGTAACAAAGTTGTCCTGCCTAATTAGAATCCCGGTAGTCCATAAGCATGATCTTGCCCAGACAGGGTGAATAATTTTACTTAGGAACGAAATGTCAAAATTATATGAGTTTTAAAGGAGAGACGAGATCTTGGTACTTTTACTATCCGGTTAGGTGGAATAATTTTTATCCTTACGAACACCCCCTAAAGTAATTAAACACTACAACTGCTTAGAATAAAAATCTTAAGGGAAACAAGGCTCTTTTTTTTTTTTTAATTGAACTCAAAATAAAAACATTATTTCAAATTGGCTTTACGTCCAGGAAAATTCTCAAGTAACTCACAAGGAATTTCTTCTTGGTAAAAATGGTTCTAATGGGACGTAGCTATAATTTGTTTCTTTTGTTTCTTGGACGCCTCATTTATAAAAATGGCAATAACTTTTTTTTGGCGACATTTCTTTAAGGTATTATATATTCAAAATATAATTAAACTAAATTTGGGAGGGTTAAAATAAACAATAAGTTGCTTTACAGCAAATAACTATTGTTTGTTATGAAAAAGAATACACAAGGTGTAAATGGTCCACTATATATTTTGACTGTTAAATCTTGGTTTAAATTTAAAAAATATCTATAGATGTTTTAGGACCATAAATATAAAAATATGCCTAATATTTTTTGATTGAATCTGCAAACGTTAGAAAATACATTTAATGTAACAAATTTAAAAGTATGAACTTTAACATACTTTTAAATTTGTTACAAGGGCTTTTAAATATAAAACATTATTACTTAAGTTAAAGGAACACTGAGATACCTACGGTATCTGATACCTATAGCCCACTTAAACAAAATAAAATTTATCTATAAGTTTTCAGATGAATCAACAGATTTTACTATTTTATTTTTTATTTTTTCTAACTTAATGAATTGAAATAAAATTTTAATTACTTCTATATTCATTATCAAAGTAAACTTATAAAACAATAAGTTTACACTCTTTATATTTTTTAACCACTTTACTATACTTTTAATTGTAATTCACATTAGATAAACAACTGAGTATTTTAAACATTTTTTGTTTTTACACAAAGCCCTTTACATTTACCTGCCCGGAAAAAACAAGTTTTATCTATTATAAATGTTGTAATATTTGCTATAATATGTTACAAATAAACAGAAACCACTATTTTTTAATATTGAATTTTCAAGTTTACTTTTCTTATTATTTGAATTACTGACTCATGTATTTTTGAAATAACTACGTCTTACTTCTTTGAAAAAAAAAAAATTTAATCACTCTGAGCTATTGCACGCCATCATTCAACTTGCTAAACATGGATCTGCTGCTCACGATAAAAAACAATCTGAAGTGTATAGGGTGGGAGTACAACTTTAGCTAATAAAAAATTCTATTGGACTATATTAGGCCTAAATATAACTTTTTAGCCTCTAAACTTATTCACTTATAATTTTAAAATCACTTTATAAAGAGCCTCAAATTGTTGGATGAGCTTGGTGCCGAGCTAGAAAAGAGAGGCTACCATCTTAGCAGAAGTGCTTTATATACTCGGTTGATGCCAAAATGGAGGAAATTGTTTAAAGAAAAGAGACACATCCACAAGGTTTCAGTCAAGTTGGTGCGAGCTCAAAACTATCTTCATTTAAGTCATGTGGATGATCCATTTTGTACAGCAACTATTAGGAATGTGGAAGAAATTTGCTATTAAGACAATAAAGCTCAAATCCAAATTGGAATTACTGCTGCTAACAAACAAGCTCCTATATTAATACATATGGAATATTGAGTTTCTCTTCCTGATCATGATTGGGTCATTGCCACAAAGCACAAGCTCATATTGTCTCTCTAAGCAGGCATTGAAATCAGACCAAATGAGCTTGGAAAATCTGACACAGTCCTATTCCATTTATGGTTTCACTTATGTTGCTGTTTGGTTTGGAAAGCATTCATCATCAACAGTGTATGCTTACGTATTAGACTTAACTGACCTTTGACTCTGCCATAGTTTGATTCCATTACAAAAGGCCTGTTGACCAAGTTAGTCAAGCCAGTGGTTGTCTTTAGTGTTGATTTGGGGGGGATTGATTCTTCCTTAAGATCATTATGGAATTCATTCAAACTCACAAGGAATTTAAATTCATTTTTAATATCAACTCTTTATCAAAAAACAATATATAGCAAGACTTAAAGAACTAATTATCTGCACTGTAACTTATATTTAAGGTAGAATAGTGGATCTTCTTTTAAAGAAACAGAACTTTGATTTTGCTGGAAGGATCTTTGATATTTTTAGGTCTGATGATTGATCAGTTTCCAACAGTGATTGAGTATATCAATTTAAGACGAAGATGCAAAGAAGAAGCTTGATGCTTGTCATCTCTTATCAAAGGATCAAGAATAGTTTGCCTCTCATGTACGCACCACCCAATATTTCACGCAAATTTTAAAATTTTAGGATCCCGGATGTTGTTCTTTGAAAAAGAGCTCTCATTTCCAGTCAATTTCTGTCTCCACCTATTTCAATCTGCCAGTTAGAAGATAGCTTGTAAGCTGTAGCTCTTTAGACGTCACCAGTTAAAATTTTTTTCCTTCTGCATTTTTTCTTATACAATATTCAGAGTACCATTCCTTGATAATTGAAATCATTCCTTACGCTCTGTTTTGTTTCTCTGTGCAATTTTTTTTCAGAGAATCTGTAAGCTTTGTAGCTTGTACTTTTTAATTTTGGGAAAGAGGGGTTCAAAAATTGACTAAAATTTGGTGATGCCCTTAATGGACAGCCCCTTATGCAAAAATCCAACCAACCTTAAATTTGCAACTTCTCTAATTTAAGCTTCTACTTTCTTTGAAAATCAATGAAAAAGGAACTGTTAATTTGTTTTGTCTTGCGCATCAGAGGCAGATCAAATCAAATGCGCACAATAGTCACCTTAGGTAATAACCTTTCACACTTAGCCAAAAGAGCTCACAACTATAAATAATTTTAAATTGAAACTAAAACAAAATAGTTTTAAATATATGTATAAATATAGAGGACTTTTTTTGTGAAAACTATGATCATATATAGTTTTAATTCCCTTTATTTGGGGGTTGTGAACTTTGAAGGGTTATAAAAAGAAAAAAACTGAGAGATTATTGCATGAAATTTGAAATTTGTTGACGAATATAAATTTAGAAAAAAAAATTAAAAAAAATATTTTATAAAATTGTTGACTATTTTAAGGGCTGCAGGGCCAAAGCTTTAAAATTTTTTGTTACTGTTGTGTTCATAATATATTCTCTTTCAAAAGAATTTTTTTTTTTCTGCTATTGTTCTTTTGTGCACCATCATCTGCGTTTTATCTCAAGTCCTGTGTGGTGCAAATATAGTATACAATCTTCTAAGATGAATTTGATTTTGACAGAGAACCTGTCCGTTGTGATTTAATTTGACTTCATATGATCTAGAGGCTATGCACTTTATTACTTTACCTCTAAGACTCTATTTGCGAATAATTTCATCATGAATTGCCACATTTTAGCTTTGCTTGAAAAAGTATGGTGCTAAAGTACGAATATTTTTATTATGGTAGTTTTTTGATTGAATTCTTTCTTTAACTATGTCTCTAGATCTTTTATATGGTTTCTTATTTTGATTTTGAATTCTAGGTAGGTTATCTCTTTGTTGTCATCCATATAGTAGTTCTGCTGGAGACAATCCATGTTTGGAGTATTGTGCAATATTAGAATACCTTTAAAAATTTCTTTGTTTGATGTGGCACTTTTTTTATCATAAGTTTAACTGATTTAACAGTGGCTTAAGCTAAGCCATTTGATCTTGGGTAGTGCGGACTACTTGTTATATACCTAAATTGCCACTGTTGAGAAAATTGATGAAACAATTTTGAAGTGTATTGTGTACCATTATCTGAAACCAATTCCTGCGGGACACCATTTCTAAAAAATGATTCTTTGCATGTTAATATTATATTTACCAAATTGGTATTTGAAAGCTGAAAAACCTCCGGCCTAAGTTATAAAAATCAACAATAATCAAGTAATTTTTGTTAGCTCACTGAAACAAATCCATTCCAACGTTTTGCCATGGCCAAGTTGAAACTTTATAAGTTAACAGAGGTACTTTTGGTTTTGACGGAAAATACCTCATGCATTCTTTACACTTTTTGATTAACTGTTCAATTTGGTTGTTTAAACCTGGCCAGAAAACTGCCTGACGTGCATGACATTTGCACTTTTCTATTCCTAAACGACCTTCATGCAATTTCGAAAGTATTTCTTTTTGCATACTAACTGGGATTATTATTCAGTTTTTATACATCAAGAGTCCATCAATTTAAACTATTTTATCTTTAAAATTCCAATTAAGCTGAATATTTGTTGGACAATATTTTTTTGAATTCGGCCATCCAGAAACTATACTATCTTGCAGTTGTTGTAAAAGTTCATCCTGCTCAGTTTTCTACCTAATTTCTTCTAATCGACTCTCTGTCGCTGGCATACTTTTAATTATTGAATTAACGTATATGTTCAAATCATTTTCTGCAATTTTGTTGTCCCCTGTATGTTGCAATACAGGTGCACAAGACATTGCATCAGCATCCTTAATTGACTTGCCAGCAACATGCTCTGCAGTAAATGAAAATCTTAACAATTTCATTCTTAACCGTTGAATTCTTGGTGACATTTCGGTAAGTGAACGATAATTTAATATGGGAATTAAAGGGTTGTAACCTGTTTTTAAAATAAAATTTGGTAACCCATACAAATACTTTGACATCCGCATGCACCCCCATGTTACAGCTAGCATTTCTATTTTGATTAAATAATATATATTTTTAATTTTTGTCAAAAATCTAGATGCACAATCAATTGGTTTGTATACCCCATCGTGATTCTGATAAATAACCACACTAAGTCCGCTTAATAATCTTCCATCTGTTCCCAATTTTATTGGTTTTGTCACATAATATTGTGCTAAAATTGGTGGATTTGTCAAACTTTTTATCTCATCGAATGCTTTAGAATGATTTTCTGTCCATACCTATGCTGATTTTGAACTTAAAAGATCTCGCAAAAGTTGAGCTAGTTTAGTGAGTAATGGATTAAACTTTGATAGCTGTTGAGCCATAACATAAGGCAGGTTTACCTAATAAAGCAGTTTTCACATTATTACAAACATATATGGTAATTAACTCACTGTTCTGACTATGGATTTTTGGAAATACCTTAAGCAATTTAGCAGTTTATGATCAGGACCTAATAATTATCTGTTACTAGTATGTAATTGATTAATTTTAATTCCAAACTTTTTTAAATGGTTAGGTCCAATAAAGTTAACTTTGGCACCAGTGTCAATTTTGAATTTTATTATACTATTTTTTACTTTTAGTTGTATTTACCAAGATACTGCTGGCACAGAACTAAAGGTGTGTTTCCACTCATCCGTTTTTTTACGGGAAAGGGAGAGGGAACGGAAAAATAATCACGTGAGCATACGCAGTTTTCTTTTGGACAAATAAAATCTTTTATTACGCATGCTCACGTAATTATTTTTTCCTTTCCTATCCCGTTCCCGTAGAAAAACGGATGAGTGGAAACTCGCCTTAATCCGATCCAATTGCACAAAATCAGATTTCACACTTCCTAAATACAATGCTATTAAATGCTTTTTCATTGCCAGTGTTCTTTGTCTGTGAATTAAACTTTTTTCTGTTGTATAATTGTTGTCCAATCCGGGTACACCATCTTGTTCTTTTTCGGAAGAACGATGAATTTCTACTGCTTTATCTAGTGTTAATGTTTTTTTCAGAAAGTAATTTTTCTCGTACTTTGTAACATTGTATCCCGATACAATTTTATCTCTTAATAAACTGTTAAGACAATTGGCTGTTTTACAAAAATTGCAGTTTTTACTTAACAATTTTACTTCTGTCAAGAAGTTATCAAAACATTCACCATCTTCTTGAAAACATTTAAAATATTTATGTCTTAAAAATATGAATTTTTTAAAATAATACCCTTGGCCAAGACTTTCATTTTCTCCAATATAGCAGAAGGGTCTATTTTTTCATCTTTGGTTAGACTTAATGATTCAAGTTTCTAAAGAAAACGTATACCTTAACATATCAGCTTGATATGCAAGTGTTTTTCTCTAAATCTGATAACAAAACATAATCATGCCATTTTTCAATCTAAGAGCAAAATGCAGCATACCTATCTACAACTAAATCTAACTTTCTGCCATTTTTTATAGACTCTTAAGATTAAACAAGATAATTAGTAAAATTTTATTTTCGCACGTTTATTTACATACTAATAGAGCCACGTTGTGTTCATAATATATACTCTCTTTCAAAAGACCAGTACTGATCTATCCAATCAGGCCATGATACATGTATATAAGTACAACACAGTTACCAAGCTCAAATAGTTGTGATTTTTTAGCAAAACATCCTTATTTAGCATAAGCATGAACACATCAATATTTTTAGTTAGCTCCATGTCTGTTAGCTATTTCAAAATAATAAAAGAAGTTAGCTATTTTAAAAAAATAAAAAAGGTACCAAAAAAACTGTCTGCTAAATAAAATAAAGAAATTAGTTTAATTGTACATAAATTTGGAGATTTAACAATGTCTGAGATTGTCAAATTGAAAACATCAAAATATCTTGCGCCCACCATACAAGTTGGATTAATGAGCATAAAATATATATTTTAATGATAATGTTTATATATCATTATTTTGTTAATTAGTTAACTGCAAATTGCCACCAAGTATTCTATCAGATTGATTAAAAAATTTTAGAAATTTTTATTAAAAGACCATTTTTTACTTTTTTTTACAAGAATAAGTTTTCCTGACTCTCCCTTTTTATAAAATTATTAAATTTCTATCAAATACTTCTAATTTAAACTTTGCATCTCCGTGGCGAAGTACAGAAACATACGTAAGAAAAGTTCTTATTCAATACTTAGGTTGTCAAGAAGTATTGTAAACCTTAAGAAAAAGAATAAATTTATGTCCTTTAGCTAAACATATTTCTAAACCTTTTAAAATTGTAGATCAAGACGGTTTTGACTTTCAACTTTTGAATTTCGAGATAAATTTAAAACTGTAGATATTTAAAACTTGAATAAAGTTTAAAACTTAAAAATAATTTTTCTTTATTTAAAAAAAGCCAATAAAATATCAAATCAAAATAATGATGATGCATGTACTCTCTGCTGTGCCTATGAAGCAAAATATTAAAAAAAAAAAACATTGAGAAAAATGCAGACTACTCGATTGAAATAAAAATCACCTATAAACGGTTGTATTTAAGTTATTGTTTGATTCAGAAAATTTAATAATTGGTCGAAAAAAATATTAGTTAAACACACAAAAATTTTAAATTGGTCAAAAAAAATTGTCAAAAATGAAAGCATCATAAATTGGTTAAATTTAATAAACATCACTAGTTGAAAATATTAATATTAAGGCTTCCAGCTTAAAAATACAGTCTGAAAATTATAATATTTAGGCCTCAGTACGACATCTGAAATTTATATCTACTTATTGGTCAGCCTTTTTTTGTAGGTCATAAGATATTTTTAGATTTAACTCTTTTTTTTTTTATGTATTTTTACATAAGAAAAATATGGTGAAATAAGATTCTGCTATTTCCTGTCTTTACTTTAATATAATTAAATTTTTTTTTTAATATAAACTTTTTACCTAAAAAAAAAAATTATTTTTCCTTTGTGAATGAAATAGAAACTACTTTTGAAATAATTGAGTTCATCTTAATACTAATATTTAATTTAACAGAATTGAAATAAATTTAGTTAAGTTAAAAAAATAAATGGAACGTTATAAGTAGACATTTCCTATTATTATGGAAGAAAATGTAAATTTATTAACTAAATAATTTACTATTACTAGGGACTTACCACTCCCTGCCTGTCGCCTAGAGATTTCTCATCAAAAGGGGTACGAAACCAAAATAAACCAACAGCAACTGACAAGGTCACAACCTAAAATTAAATTTGCATTACATGCAAGATTTAATATTGATTATTATGACAATTCAAACTTAAACTAAAAAAAATTTACTATCAAAAAAATTATTGTTATATATTTATATTGTTTCACTGCTAATAAATGTCACCAAAAAAAAAAACAAAAAAAAAAACAAAATAAACTATTTTAATTACCTGTATAATGTTGACCATATCCCAAACGTCTCCTTTGGTCTGAATAAACGATCGTTGACATAATGCTAATGCTTGCGATCGGTAACCCGTAGGCCACTTTTCTGTTTTTATTTTGATCTAAACAACATTTATAAAAAAATAATAGACAAAATTATCTTTAAAAATTATCTTTAAAAAGAAAACAGACAAAATTATCTTTAAAAAGATAATAGACAAAATTTTGTTTAAAAAGATAATAGACAATAGTATGTGTACATCAAACATGGTTTGGAGTCGAGCATTTTACCTCATCTTTACTGACTACATTTGAATAGATTTCTTTTACGTCACCAACTTCATCACAAATTGTGTCATCTGATATATCATCTGCAGCATAACTGGTATTTGAGATTCCTTTGTTAAAAGTTTTTGAATCGTGCAACTTTTTTTTTTCTTTATTGCATGATTTATTGCTAAAAAATTTATCAAAACATTTCACGACCCAAAATTTCAAAAAACAACACAATATTAAATTACAAAATAACCAAAACGTCATGCAAATTATCAATGAATGAAACATCTTGAAACACCGCATATAAAAAGTTAAGATCCAAGGACACATTTTACAAAACTAAGATGTTATAGAAGAGCTACTTTTAGAAGGTTACTAATTTGAGAAAAAGTTTTGTCTATAATAAATCTGAACTTTTTTTATTTAAAATTTTTTTTTCAACACAATGGTCATTTTATAGATAATTATGCTATCTTTATGTAGGAGAGATGCTGTGTTGAGAGCAGGGGTTATTTGAATATTTATGATCAGTTGTTTCCATATGTGGCAGTTCGCTATTTATAATATTTTTAACAACTATATAAATAGTAATATAATGTTTTATTATTTACGTTTTGTATATTTCGTATGATTCAACAATTTTGTTTTGGACATCAAAATCAGACAATCGTTCCACTAAAAAAAATAAAAAAAAATAAAACAACGGTATTATAAATATTTATTGGGCATAAACCATGAAAAGAAAGTAGTAAGAGATTGCCGATTCAGAGGGATTTTTTATTTTCAACCATATTTTCAACCATAAATTAATATTAATATAGGGTTCAATGTTAACCATATTGTATATAAATTATTTAGATAAGAAATAATTTTTTATTTTAAAAAATTGATTTTTTAAAATAAGTGTTAATTTTTATTTCTTGTTATGAAATATTACGAAAAATTCTTGCATGACGTCACAGGTCACATGATTTTCAGATTGGTCTTATGATATGCTTAGTGCGCATGCGTCGATTTGTTTATTTGCTTGTAGATGCTGTAGAATATGAAGAAGCTGTTACCGTAGTATTTGTATTAGCATTACCAGAAGTAGCTGATACGCATATATTCACATTTACATTGGAGTTTTGCATTTTTATATACACAAGAAAATTATTTAACTAATTTTTTTTATAGATTTAGCGAAGCATTGATCTCTTTCAGAGATTTTTCAATTCTGTATTATCAACCCATGAGTTAAAAGTATCAGGATACCCATACCACTTTACAAATGATTTATTACCTTTTTTACGAATAACCTTTTCAATTCTAAATATCTCTTGACTTGTTTTTTGAAGTTCTTGTTCATAAAAAGTACCTTGTATTTCTTCACCATTGTAATCAGTTATTTTATAAGTTGGTGGATCTGTGTACTGAACTTGCGATACTATGAATACTTCTTCAGTCCATCTTGGTGTGTACCCTTTTTCAAATGCTCCTTTCTTTTTAGTTATTCTAACTTTATCACCTATTGAAAACTTGGGTTTGATAGGATTAGATATCACTTTACCATTTAGATTCAGCCAAACAATGTTCTCATTCTTTTTATCGCTTGCTTCAGCTGGAGTCATTTTAATTGAAGAATGCTTTGTGTTGTTGTATTGATTTACCATTTCATCTAAGACATCAATGTATTTTCTCGTAGAATTAGCTGAAAAGTATTTGAACATTTTTTCTTTCATTGTTCTATTCCATCGTTCAACAACGCAACTTTTTTCTTCATTTTCAGTTGAATAGAGATAAACACCTAATGCTTTAACATGTTTGTTATAAAATTTCAAACCTTTATCAACCCATAATTTATCGCATTTCCTAATTTTAAAGATTTTATTGAATGCATTAGCAACTTCAACTCCAGTTTTACTTTTCAGTGGAATTATCCATCCATACTTTGAAAATATATCAATTACCATTAATAAGTATTTTATACCATTATTAAATTTAGAAAAAGTTTGCATGTCAACTAAATCAGCAGCCCATATTTCATCAATACCATTTGCAAACACTTTTCTTTTTCTAAAATGTTTTATAACAGGTTTATGAAGTTCATTTGCAAGTTCATCAGTCCATTTCAGGTCTTTTGCTTTTTTCCTGTGCGCTGGTAGTTTTTTTGACATAATTCTTTAATACTCATTGGTTCTTTATTTCCCATACCAAACCTTACTTTAGCAGATATAATAGGTTTTATAATCTTTCTTTCCATTTTTTCACGTGGTGTAGGATTAGGTATAGTATCCATTTGTTCAAGCATCATTTTATCAGCTAAATTTCTATGCTCTTTGTCTGGATAATGCTTATAAGCAAGATCATGAATATAAGCTGCTTTATCAACTCTATCTACAGGCATGCTCCATTCTTTAGGCATTTCAGTAGAAGTTAATCTTTCATCTAAATTAGTGCCAGGTCCTGCAAAGTTCATACCTGGTAAATGCATTTCACCTTTAAACTTTTGAAAAGGTAATTTTTTATTCTTTGTAAAATTATTAATAGATTCTACTAAATCACCACCTTTAGTTCCTTTTGTAAATTGAGTTTTTGTTGTTCCACATAGTGCACAATTTCCACGAAGCATATTTCTATTGTTTTTACTTACAACATGTTGTAAGTTGAGTGTATCTGTTTTGTTTCTACATTTAACGCAATACATTTTTTATTACTTTATTTTTATTTAATTTAAAAAAATTATTTATATAAGAAAATGGAAGTATTAGATTTATCATATAATGTAAATAAAAATAATCGTCATAATAATGAGTTATTACCAAGAAGTATAAGAGGACTTATAGTTGGGAAGTCTGGTTGTGGAAAAACAAATTTATTATTAAATTTACTTATAAGACCTGATTGGTTGGACTATAATAATTTACAAGTTTTTGGAAAATCTCTTTTTCAACCTGAATATAAAATATTAAAAAGTTCTTTTGAAAAAAAAGTACCAAAAGAAGATATTCTTAAAATATTTAAGTTACAAGATAAAATAGATAAGATGGATATCAGCCCTGATCTTGTAATTGAAGTTCATTCAAAAAATTTAAAAAATAAAATAGATATGGAGTGTCAGTTTTATGAAACAGCAGATGATGTACCAGAACCTGAAGATCTTGATCTTACTAAAAATAATTTAATGATATTCGATGATTTACAATTAACAAAGCAAAACAAGTGTGAAAAATACTATATAAGAGGAAGGCATAGTAATGTAGATTGTTTTTATTTAGCGCAAAATTATTTTATGCTACCAAGGAAAACAATAAGAGAAAATGCAAATTTTATATGCTTGTTTAAACAAGATTCAAAAAATGTAAATCATATTTATAATGACCATGTTTCAAATGATATGTCAAAAGAAGAGTTTAAAAACTTTTGTAAAATAGTTTGGTCAAAACCACATAAATTTATTGTTATTGATTTATCATCAGATGTGAAAAATGGAAAATATAGAAATGGTTTTGATCGTTTTTATTTTCCTTTATCTGTATTAAATGGTAGATCCTGAAAGGATCCAACGAAGTCTTGGTTCTTTCAGAACCTATGCTAAATGAAATATATATTTTCATAAATATATATTTAACTAAAGAATCCAACCTAATAATGGGATATTTTTAAATGGTGAATTTTCACCTAATATTAAACCTTTTCCTACTTTTTTATATTGTTTATCGTTTCCAGTTCCTTTTCCATAATAGTAGTAATACCCATTTCCTAAATACCTTCCTTTTTTCCATTCATCTATTAGTAATCTTTTTCCTACTTTTCTAGCTTTAATAGATCTTTTATTATCTTTAATATACAAAACACCTTTTCCAGCAATTTTATTAACTATAGTGCTTCCAGCAGCTGCAGCTGTTCCAGCTAATAATGCTGTTGCAGTAGTTTTTGCAATTACTGGAGCAGCACTTGCTAAAAAACTTAAAAGTAAAGGTAGAAACCCACCTTCCACTTTAGAATTATGCACGAGATTTTCTTCATTTAATTCAATTGTTATACCTTTTTTATTTTTAAATGCATTGATTACTTTCTCTAATTGTTTGTGTGTTAGAGCTACTACATCTTTAGCATTTTTATCACTTAGATTTTTAAAAGTTAATTTTATAGTAATTTTTTTTGAATCATTCTCAAGTTCTTTCTTGATTTTCTTCTTTTGATAATCTGAAAGTTTAAATTTAATATTTTTATAATCTGTCATTTTATATATACACAATTTTTTTAAATCTCTTTTGAGATTCATACTTCGTTTGGTCTTTCAGGCCTAATAAATAATCTATTTTTTATATTTTAAAATATTTATCAATTCTTTTAGAAGTGATACTTGTTCTTTTAAAATAGATTCTTGCTCGCATTTAGAAGTTCGTTCTCTTATATGAAATTTCATTGTTATTCTTTCTCCTTGCACATCAATTGGATTTTCATCTTGATCAATTAATGAAGTTTCCATATCACGAATATCTCCTCTTAGAGATATAGGTAAGTAAATGGGAACATTGGGTTTTTCTACAACTTTAGCTCCAGGAGCTACAGAGGGGTAAAACGTATAAATAATATTGCTAGGTGAATTATCTAAATAAGATCCTGATATAATACTATTTTTTACATGTATAGTATTAATATGATTTATATCTAATGCTTTTACAGATTCATAAACACCCGCAGTATATATTTTACTTTCAAAACCTAAAAGATTTCTGATTGAATTTTCAATTGTAAAATCAACTGCAAAATTTGTTTCAATACCCATTATAACTTTAAATGTTGTTGTACTTCCAACAAAAGTAATTGAATTCAAAGGAAAATGAGAAGCAACTAAATCTTTTTGCAACCAGTCATTGATCGATGAAAGTTCATATACCCCTTCTGGAATATTACGATTAGCTGTCGATGTATTTTTAGTAGTTGCATCATAAATAGTATAAGTAAATTTATTGTTGTTTGAAGTAATATTATTAAGTATATTATATGTTTCTAAGCTTATTAATGCCATTTCATATTCTTTTTTTCCATCAAGTGGAATAGCTGGTAAAAACTTTCTTCTTATTGTTGAAGTATCTCCTCCAATACATATATCCATTTTTATATATGTATTATTATTTTTTAATTCATTATAATGAATAACTTTACTGCTTTACTTCCCTTAGATGAAATTGTATTATTAATCTTTCTTTACTCATATCTATAGCATAACGATCGTCATCCACTATTTCAACTGTCATTTTTGAAAGTGTGTTTGTTCTTAATGGAAAATAACTTTTAAAATTTGGTTCTTCAACAAGACTCATACCTGAAGGACGAGTCATTGGTAAGAATGTATGCATTACAGTAGTTTTCTTACCATTTATATTTTTTCCATCTACGATATTATTTAATATATGCAAACACTTATTTTGAGATGAAACGCTGTAGTGAATAGTTTCTAATCTTATAAATGCCATTTCGTATTTTTTTGTTTTATCAAGTTCAATAATAGGATCAAATTGAATTGTAGTAATATTTGATTTATTGTTATGTACTTCAATATCCATTCTTTATATATTTATAATTAATACTTAAATTATATAAATCATTTTTTAAAAAATATTTTACTCTTCATCTTCACTTTCTAAATCAATATCTTTAATATAAAGTCTTTCTATCTTATACTC